TATTGTTTTCTTCCGGTATCGAGCTTGCCATACATCGAGGCATCTCAGGGGGGGGCGTTTTCTCTGACCTTGATTTTTAGATCGAAAACGTTTTGCTTGCACAGCCCTCTTTCATTTTCGCCATAGTAGTGGCAACCATTCTTAAAAAGTCATTTGTTCACATGTTCGTCTCTGCAGAAACAACCTCTTTCTTAATGCTCTATTAATAAAATGAGAGTTGTTCCTAATAGGTATATTATAAAAATGTTCTTTTTTCAGTTCTAGAGTATATTACATGAAAATCTTGTGAATTTATTCATAGGCTCCAAATAGATACAGATGTCACTGATGAGAAGTGCATCTGCTATTAATTCAAAGAAAGAAACGTCTTTTTAACGCCTTTGACACATATAATTTTGCATGGCATCATATTTTATTTGCCTAGGTAAGTTATATATGCATTTTACATAATGGATATAGGAGATTGATCATACATACCGAACGACAGAATTGAACGATGAATTTTTTTATGTACAGTAGATATCTAGATTTTTCAAATGTTTTTTTACTGCCTTCAATGTTAAGATATCCAAATAGTAATATGAGTAGAGAAAAGTATAGAATGAAATAACAATAATTACTAGATTCTCAAAAATGAGATGTGTAGAAAATTGAATTCTTAGGTATTTTAAAAAAGCTAGAACGCGTGAATACAATTTTGCTTAGACTTTTTGAAAATGATAGCGAAAAATAATAATGTAGCAAATATGACGTCTTCAAATAAATTTACAACTCCTTTTGGTTGAGGCACAACAATATCAGGAAAGGTCCTGAAGCTGTTTCTGTATTTTCTATGAATAATACGAATTTGAACCTTTAATCAGTGTATTGTATCTCAAAGGTGAAATTTCCCCACTGATTAAACGCTTTTAAGTCGAGATTATGTGCATCATGTAGGCTTCAGTGATTTAAGAATATTCTGAAAAGAATTCAGACCTTGAGCCTATTTCTACGGTATTTGTTAACTCGATGAGATGGTTCCCTCAAGAGCAATAGCGAAAATGATGTTCGAATTTCCATTTGAAACTTTGCACAGAGATGGACTTTAATGAGAACAGTTCATTATGAAAATTTCGAGTCATCTGATTTGTTCCTGTCCTGAAGTAAAAATATTGAATCTGCCGTGTATATGAACAATGTAAACGGCTTACTTTTACCGTAACCGTGTCTTACGATAGGAACCATGAAAAAATTGAAATGTTCACAATCAATTATTCTCACAACTAGGGAGAGCCCATGCATACTGCACGGCTGTTTTCTCCTTTAACGTATGACCTAAGATGGTTAACTTTTCATTCGGGAACAGACATACAGACACTCGATATTATGTATATAGATAGATAGCCCTACGGCCTCATGCTCTTATATGGCACATATTTTTATAGTCCATGCAGCCTTCGACCTTATAGCCTTGTATCTCTTGTAGCTATTGTAGCCTTATCGTCTTATTGCCTTACAACTTATTGCCTTAGTCCCTTGAGAACCTATGGCTACCCTCATACTGTAGCTCTTCATGTCCTATAGATATACCATATAATAGCCCTTGAGGATTTATAGGTACCCCCGTATAATAGCTGCTGAGGACTTATGGGTAGTCCCATATAATAGCCCTTGAGGACATGTGAGTACCCCTATATAATAGTCCTTGAGAGCCTATGGATCTCCATTATAACCACCCTTGGGTCTTCTCCTTATAGCCTTATTTGACCTTTAACCTTTGACCCGACACCGACACACCGACAGACAAACACTGAACATTATATATATAGATTGTTTTATTATTGGTTTATTACAGTAATAATTTATTACTCGTTACCTTATAAATTCTTGATTACTTTTTGTTACAACATATTAAGTGCTAAAAATTTTAAAATAATAAAAGTATTTACTAATAAAGTAATAGAAAACTACTTCACATTTTGTTAATAAAGAACAGTAAAACTCCCATGAACATTAAAACAATAAAAAGAAAGCAATGATGATTAAAAAAAGATTAAGTGATATAAGTAGTAATAGTTTTTTATGAATTATCGAGCAACACTAATAAAAAGTAATGATAATGTAGCGTCTCTATGTATAACACACTACGGGCTTCTTATTCTGTGACAAGTTCTTTCATTATTCTATTGTCATCAGTCCTAGCTCGAAAACTGTCAAAGGTACGCTTGACGATTCCACATCGCCGGCAACTGCTGACTGTCATCTTCAGTACGATTATCATATTGATTTAAAGTGTACTTCTGTCTTTGAGGGGAAGTAACATTATTAATCATAACAGAATTGTGGTTTTGTTTACTAGATTGTTGTCTATTTGAGTGATGAATCGAATTTTCTGCATTATCGTGATCAGAAATAGATTGACGGCTACTATCTGTTCGATATTTATCATCAGTGTTTCGCGAACACTTACGAATTAACGAATCTACACATGGTAAAATCATTACCTCAACTATAACAAATAAAAGTACAAACATTCCAATAATCATTGTTATATAAAGGAAATCATGATAAATTATTTCAGGTAATCTAGCAATTGGTGATTGCTCATTTAGTATATAATAGGGTGTTTCACTGATTGTCAGTGTCAAAATTGTTGACGTCTTAGGTGGTGCATTCAAATAATCAGTGTCTGTCATGAATGATTCGTCGTAGTTCACCGAAAATGAACCAATCCAAATACCACTCAGTACCTCATCATCACCGTTTACAAGTGGATTTGTAGTATTGATTACTTTTGTCACTTGAAGGGTGATACGGGCGTCTTGTCCAAGCAGACGTCCACTTTGGTTGAATGTTTGTGAAAAACTTAAATCTTGGAGCGTTGCTGTAGAAGATTTGTTTTTACCGGGAGCACTCAGACCTATACGAAGTCCACCAATTGGATATGTGTTTGGTAAAGTAAGTTGTACAGTAATTGATCTAAACGGCAATCGAGCATTATAAGAAACTGTGTAGCTCGATGAAACACAGAAGGGATCCGGCGATACTGGAATCCACGTTGTACCTAAGAGATAGGTCAATGTTACTGCATCTGATGTGCAATTGTAAACTGTATTAAGAAAAGAGACGTTCAGATTGACTTCTTGATCGTTTAACAAGCCCATCATGCCTTGAATATTTTCTGTGTCTGGTACCGATAAAGATCGTAAAGATGAAGAAAACTGTGCATTACGTATACTTGTATCACATGTATATGTTGAAGGTCCAGCTGTTTCAATCGGATATGAACTATAATACTTAGCACTAAATACACAGCAAGAAACACAGAGCACGATAACACAAAACGTAGCAAGGCCACCGACCCACATGTTACCTTCACGAATAATATCTGTTCGTTTAAATATTTTCTCAAATAGTGTATAACTATTTACAGCTGTTGAGTTTTTAACACAGTATTTAATTACAAGCATTACACTTACAATGAGAATTATAATAGCAGCAACGATCACGGTCCAAAAGATTGGTGAAAGAGCAACACAGCGTGCAGATGAACCAATTGAAAATAGTGTGAAAAACAGAATATCATCAAGTCCGGTGATATCTGGGGATTTTGGATAGGCAACTGCTTGACTGACGTTAGTGAGCTGATCATTCGAGATAGAATCACTTACAGAACCAAGCGGACAGAATGTGTTCATTGCACAATTGATACAGGTTGTTATCGTAAGGTTGGTTCCATCGTTTTTTGTTCCTATTGGACAGAGTAAACAACGACGAATACCTGTTACATTCTTATATGTACCGGGCATACATGGTAGTGACGAGGAGAATGCCGGTACAGCTTCAACAATTGGTCCAATTGTTGAGGAATAATTACCACTATGAGCTGAGAGAATGACGAAGAGACCGCCTTCGGCAGCAAGAAGAACTAGTTCTGTTGGAGTTGTGATGATATTGAGAAAAACAGAAGACATGTAACTGTAAAGCGGCTGTTCATTGTTGGGAAAGATTGAGATTGGCTTTGAAGCACTCGTCAATGGACTGTCGTAGACATAGATTTTCGAAGAACTCCAAACGTAACTTGTCGAATAGACGTTGGCAAGAATGGCAACACTGTTGAGAGTGTCATTGAGCCAGGCAACACCTTTGCCGAAACCAATTCCTCGACCTTTGTCCATTGAAGTAACCAATGCCAGTGTCGTCGTTGTATAATTGAAGAGAAAAACCGTATTCATCGACTGAATACCGATGAGAACTTGTGTAGCTGTTGGATTTATACTGACAGACATGTCGAATTTAGGATCATTTTTATCAGCACCTGCATTTGTTTGTCCAGCCTGCCATGCTGTACCATTCGTCGGATACTTCAATAATATAATTGGTGTAGCATTGGCTGTTGATGCATCAATACTAAATAGAATAATAGTTGCGTTATATTTGATACCTATTAAAACACAAAAAGAGAACATAAAAGTTGCGAAAATAATATATTCCTATGTTGTTATTGACTTCTTCTACATACGTGAATTTTGATCATTCTTAAGAAAGCCAGCAATAATACCGCAACTACCATCGTAATCAACGGCATATGGTAGGAATGGTGTTGAAGGAGAGAGTGAATTATTCTTAAAAACGGCCAGATTATCCGTAGATGCTGTATAAGAAAATGTAAAGAGATTGGAGAAACCGTAGGCAATCAAACCAAGAGGATCAGTTGTCATCACTAAATGCTCCTGATGAATGAAGTTTCCGTCCACGTATGATATGGCTAAATTGAAATTACTACAATCAATTGTAGTAAGATTACCGGTGTAATTGAGAAAACCGACAAATGTACGATTTGGCAATTTCTCGTCTTCGTCCAAATCAATCATTTCACCAACGAAGAAAAAGCCATATATTGATTGATTTTTCCCAATAGCAACAGCATAAACATACCACGAAAGATCATTGTATTCAAGAAAACAACCGCGCTCATCGTTTTGTGTAACATCATCAGTGTACGGAGCAAATTGAATATTAAACCAATTAAAATCATTTTGAGCTTCAACAATCATCAAGTTATTAGCAGTTATTTTCAGTCCATATGCATCATAATCATTAGTATCAGGCGAAAAATTGCTGGCAGACGAGAGACATATGAAGAACTCGAGAATTAAGAGTAATTGAGGCAGAATAAACATGTCAATCTACTTGAGAGAAGAGAATGAAATAAAACTAGAGAAGAAGTCACTCTTGATATAGTCTTTCATTTAAATAGATTGCTTTCCCTAAGAAAACTATCTGAAAATTATTTCTGACAGAGAATACATTCTATTCCGCGACGTTGAACATTGCAGATTCAATTCTGCACCCAAAACCGACTCCACTCAATCCCAGCGACTCAATCATCATTCAACATAAGAAGCCCAATCGACATTGATTGACTTCCATCAATTTCCGGAAATTCCGAAACTGATTCGGGATAGAATTAGTCGTGGTTTCCAGAAGTTTCCTCTAATTCTGTTGTGCTATAAACTTTGAAATTATGTCTTGGAATCACTTCTCTTTTCTCACCCTCATGTACAGTCATATGGTCAATGCTTCATCTCTGGAATAAGTAAGTAATGTCAAAATAGAATTCTCGAACATTGCTGGAACTCGATTAATATCAATTAAGTCTGTTACGTTGAGTGATGGAGAGAGTTCTCGAAAACAGATGAAACTGCTTCCGAGTACGCAATGTTCAACGTTGTGAAATAGGATAACTGCTCTTCTGACAGTTATTACACTGTGGAGTCATTATGGTAATTATTTTTGGCTAATTTATTCTGTAGAAAATCATTCTTCTGTCTTTCTGTTCTTCTAACAGTCAGGGTGTATAGAAAACGTATTTCTATCTCAAGTGCGAAAACAACAACAACAACATGGTCAATCTCATTCTGATTGGGGCCATATTTTGTTCTTGTTGATTCGTTCCATCTTAGGTTTCTTTCTCAGAGTTGGCCTGTGCTAAAATAAATTGATTCAGAATTTAACCATCCCAAATTGGCGCTTTATTAGTTTCCCAATTATGATATACGTTGGAGTGTAGGTGTGAGTGTAGGCGTTCAATTGAAAAAAGAGATGTACCCTCACATACACGCACAATGGGGAGATTAATTTATACCTAATGTTTTGAATATCGTTCTTCTACCAATTAGAGAAAATAAAAAACAACAAGTCTGATACACTAATACAGTTTAGCAAGCTTTACAAGCCAATCATATTTGATTTGAAAGACCTGAACTTCAACTTTGGCCATACTATTAGATCGCCGTTAGCTGCACAAGCTGTTGACACATTCTGGGAGAATCAATTCGATAGTTCTGATTGAAACCTATATGCATGATGCCTAAAGTCGGATGACGGGCATCTGATCGTATCGTTCGACTCGATCGAATCCCATTACTGGAACCCATTGAGATTCCAATGAAGGAACTCGATAGAAGCGGTGTGCGAGTGTGTGTGGATGTGCAAAGTTCTCTCTACTGCACTCACACCCACACTCTGCTCAGTTTAGTTGAGAAGAGCTGACTGAACAGCACTTGATAACAGCTCTCTTTGTTTGCAAGGCCTGTCCTTGGCATATATCAGTAAATCCTGTAGGGCTTATCTCAAGAGACTTCTATAAGTTCTCAAGGACTATCGAATAGAAGGACTTATAACTATAATTCCTCAGGAGTTACTCAATATGAGTACCTGTAATTCTTGAAAGGCTATATAATCGAAGAGCGATTCGCAGGGTGATGAATACAAGATATCGTAATCACGTTATGGCTTAGCTCGTGGTGATCAGTTAATCTAGAACGCAGAAATGGAGTGTAGTCCTGACTCAGTCGAAGTTCTGGTTTACATGATAAGATCTACTAGATGCTTTCGTCCCACTGCCCGATTAAAATAGTGCTCGTTCAATCAGCTTCCAAACACAACTAAATCTCGTTACTGCAACGAGTTAACCTGGTGTTGTTTGGACGAACTCGGAGTTACTAGAGGCCCCGTCTAACTCCAGCCGGACAGAAACAAATTGTATCCTTGCCATATAGAACAACCATGTTCGTCGAGTCCTACCGTCTGATAAAAATAACTTTCTTCCAATCAGAATAAAGCACAACTTTTCTGAACTATCATTAGTACAAGAAATAGTGCTGTTCCGACAAATACAGACTTAGTCAAGTCCCTACAACATGATCCACACGACTACATGCTGAATCCATACTTGCGAGAAGAGGGGTGTCCAAGGACTGAGGTTTTGGAATTCTTCCAATTCCTGAAAACACCAGCTATGAGTGGCAAATCCCCCGAGGAACTGAGAACTGATCCTCAAACACCTGACAAAACCTTCTCAATTCTCCCATCGATTCCTCCTGATGAATAAATCTTAGTTGAATATGACGCCAGCGCCCAACCTCGATAACTTTTCATTTCCTCAATTTCTTCCCGTGAAAATCGGCCACTAACAGTCCCTTAGACAAGGATCCGAGGAAATAACTACTACAGACCGTCAATATCCATCGGAAGACCTGACAATGACATTAGCCATCATGATTCAAATGCCATAGTAAGGATCCTGACCAGGAGAATTGCCAAAAACATCCAAGGACACGCCGAGAAACTGAGGAATTATGACAGTTCTGCTGACAGTTTCTAGGAATTGAGGTAGAAACCTAGAAGATACCTAGCGTCAGTTCCCTGGCCTTTTTCGCTATCAGCGGTAGTTATTGTGTCTAATGTATATTACACCAGTTCCTCAATTTCCCGGGGAATTGAGGGTAGGAATCTGCTATGTTTCTACCTCAATTCCTAGAAACTGTCAGCAGAACTGTCATAATTTCTTAGTTTCTCGGCGTGTCCTTGGATGTTTTGGCAATTCTCCTGGTCAGAATCCTTACTATAGCATTTAAATCATGATGGCTAATGTCAGTGTCAGGTCTCCCGATGGATATTGACGGTCAGTAGTAGTTATTTCCTCGGATCCTTGTCTGAGGGATTGTCAGTGGCCGATTTCCACGGGGACAAATTGAGGAAATGAAAAGTTATCGAGGTTGGGCGCTGGCGTCATATTCAACTAAGATTTATTCATCAGGAGGAATCGATGTGGGAACTGACAAGGTTTTGTGAGGTGTTTGAAGGTCAGTTCTCAGTTCCTCGGGGGATTTGCCACTCATAGCTGGTGTTTTTAGGAATTGGAAGAATTCCCAAACCTCAGTCCTTGGACATCCCTCATATTTATACACTCATTCACAAGGGCAAGATAGGGCAATGTGAAAATAAGCACTCCATGAAGACCTCTGACCGAAAATCTACATAAAGTGCACAAAATTTCAAAATTCAGAATCCATCAAAATTTTCAATTGAGTTCCAGTAGGTTTCGAATGGCAGATCTTACCAGAACAAACAGAATTCATCCAAGAATCATAGAGACTAATAGAATTCTACAGGAGTCTTATCGTCATCGAACGGTTGGATTCGTTAGTGATTATGTCATCGTGATTCTCATCGGATCCATTCATCTCAATTGATGACTTACCAGTACACACAGTTTCGTTTTCTATTCTTTCACACTGGAGCAAGCGAAGTATAGCTAAATGAGTGTATTTTCTTTCTCTCTCTCTCGATATACATACACTTCATCAAATGCACTATACAGTACTATGAAGAAATGCTGTTTTATTATTTCTTATTTTTCATTTTACTATTAAAAGGGTCTTTTTCTTTGTCTCCTAACACACAGTATGTAAAAAAATCATTTGGACACTGTGTAACACTCGTCTTGCGAAGCATATTTCACAAACAAAACAAACTATTTTTTTGGCTCTAATTATGTCATCCGATAAACCGAAATCTCTACTTTGTTCTGTAAAAGTTCATTTTCTTTGCAGAAGGTTATTCTTTATAAACTGCTTCATTTTCTGCGCAAAAAGATTATTTGGATACTTAAGATTTTGCTTTTATTGCACATTCATTCCGCATCAAAAAATTTTGAGTTGTGTACTATTCCATAGAAAAAACGATTCTCTACACGCTGATGTGTATTAAAACTAAAAACATTATTGGTAGTAGCTCAAAAATTTCGAAATATCTAAAAGCTCATGGATTTTACAGAGATCTTGAATCTTTTAGGTTTGATAAAACGAAAAGCCAACTGAAAAGATACCATTCGATAAAGGCAACAAAGCTGAATCAAATGCTGTCTTTGGTCCCTAAAAATGAATGCAAAAAGTCATATTAATTGCTGATTAGAATTAATATTTCATATAAGTCTCCTAGTAATTTCGCTTTATAGTATATAAAGTCAAATTGAAAACTTTCTTCAATGATATAGTCTTGTGGAGAATAAAATTCTCTACAAAATGATGTTCTTGAATGAGCAATAATTGTTTTCCTGAATATGATACGACCCTATCTTTTCAAATACGCTTTACAATGTAGAAAGGAAAGAAAAAAAGTTTTTCCGTTCTGTTGCTCACACGCATAACCTTGGTGAAAATATATGTAAGTCCACAGAACGAAATTTTTTTTCTTTCCATTGCTCACCGTCAATCGTACTTTAAAAGATAGGGTCTTATCATATTCAAGAAAAATAATTATTGCTTATCCAAGAACATCATTTTGTGCAAAGTTTTATTTTCTAAAAGACTATTATTGTAAAAAGTTTTCAATTTCATTTTCACCTTAAAAGCCAAAACTATAGGAAGACTTATATGAAATATTAATTTTAATTTTAATTAGCAATTAATATGACTTTTTCATGAGTTACCTAATTCGAGTCTGAATATAAATGCACATCTTACAATCTAATACAATTTCGAAAATCACTGAAGTAAAAGGCTTCCCTCTTCTAACAGAAAAAGAAAAGAAAAGAACAAATTTTCATGTTCGGACAGTATATAATTAACGAAACAGTAAAAAAAAAAGTGAAACATAAAATTTATGTATATTATAAACTTATCAATTCGAAGGCGCACTCCAGTAGAGGCAGCAAAAAAAAGCAAAAGATTAATTTTATAGTAATTATACATTTATAAATACGAAGATACGCCCCTGAATAACCAGCAAATAGAGTACACTTTTCAAATGATGACAACACGACACTCCTTACATTGGAGTGTTGAATTGATGAAAACACTTTTTGACCGCGTAACACACGTCTTATCTCTGCGTTGTAGCATGGAACCGCATTGCGCTCCCCGAAGAAGAGCGATCCATGGTCGTCTCTGTATACACAGTCATCAGAGTAGTTCCGATGTCAATTATATTTCCAATGCACGTCACTTTATGTTTCTTTTTTTTTCTGCTGCATTGATAAGGATCTGCCATTCAACTTATAAGTTTATAATTTATATAAAATTTGTCTTTTGCTTTCTTGGTGTCAGAACATAGTGTTATGACCTACACCTTCCTTAGGTGCTATCATAAGGAGTTTATACTATATCTATACAGTTGTGCGTACGCACTTCTGTTCTTCTGTCTTCTCTTAGTTATGCTTGAGGGAGATTTTCCTTCCTGTCATATATATATATATATATATATATGATGCTTGTGTTTTCTTCCCTTTCGTTCCTCTTTCTTTTATGTTGATCCATATGTATTTTATCATGTTAGATTTTCCAACCCATCAGTTTTCATTTTCATCATCTATGGGGTTTTTCTACTCCATGAACTTTTCCATCTTTGTTTCGTCCTATATATACAGTTGTTAAGTCAGTAAGAAAGAAGAAGAGAGAAAGACATTCAGGAATAAACTACAAGTGGGATACACACATCTCACATATATTTATATATCTCTTCTATCTGTCCAAATTAATATGTATAGTCGAAAAATAGAAAAATAAACTCAAATTGAGTCCCGAAACTTATGATATAAATAATTGGAATCAATTCTATTTTTCTCTCAACAATAAATAAATAGATGAAAACTTGATGCTATGGGTAACATCGTTCGATCAATTTAGATCTATCTACAATTTCGATGAAAACACTATCAATCTAAAGATGAGCTCACATTTAGTCATTCGCTTTCGGTTAACAATCTAATAATTATCTACTGAACCTCAAGAGAAAAAGAATGAAAACATTGTAATCGACATATAACCGAGGGTGTGGGTGTGTTTGAAGAAGATATCTACACTGACGTTCCACACCCCACACCATCCACACCCGCACTCACACCCACACCCCATCCACACCCACATCCAGACTCTAGTAAACAAATTTTAATTATTGCATGACTCATGCTATCATCATGCATTCCAAACTCAACTAAATTATCATGTAAACTATGACAATGGCTGTAGTTGCAAATGACAAAAGGCCTATACTTACATATTTTGGCTGTTTATCAGCTAGCCTTTGAATAGTTACAAGAGCATTGGATTTTTTGAAACACAGTGAAAGTTTCGTTTCTGTCAATTTTATTTAGAAACAACTCATTGCATCTTAAATTTAAAATGCGGCCTCTTGTATCAGCTACTATTATGAAAACCATTGAAATTACATCCGGAAACGCTCATATGCAGGATCCATTGATTACTTCCATTGCAAATATATGAGGGAATGGAAAATTATTCATAGCGAACTTTTCCGTTCCGAAACTGTTTATACTAAGACCAAACTCAAGTATCATCAAGCAGTAAGATCGATATATTGCCACTATATAATAGCCTTTACTGTCGATTGACTCTGAAGGGCTATTACATGATATGACATCGTTAATCATTAAAATATCAGTTCTTTTCATTATTTAAAGAAGTAGTATGCAAAACCGAAGAAAAAAACTATCTAGTATCTAAAATTTTCAAATAAACTCTATAATCGATATAAGCACAGCGGAGTCACTAGTTTTTGTCAAATTGAATAATGACGGCTAGGTTTTTCGGGAAGCATATAACTTTTTGTTGATAGCCACCTGTATTCTCTTCACAATCAATAAATGTTATAAATTGCATGAATCGAGTAATGATCGTTTTGAGTTCGAAAAAGGCCAATTCGCGACCAGCACAAATACGATGTCCACCACCGAACTAAATAATACAAGATTACCATCTTCTATGTATGGCTAAAATAAATGAATACTTACAGGAAGAAAGGCACATGGATGATGATCACGATCTTCATCAAGAAAACGCTCAGGTAAAAACTCTTGTGGATCAAGTTTCCAGTAGCGAGGATCGTGATGAATATTGTTCATAACGATAGTGATTGTATCACCAGCTCGAACATGTACAGTAGGCAATCCATCAGACTACAAGATAGATGCAGAATATAATTGTATGCAATTTTTTCCGGCCTGATGCTCGTAGCATTATAATGTAAAACAAGATAGAAAAATTCTAATTATTCATTAAGACTCTTGATATACTGATGCATATTCGTAATAGAAACACAGGAGAAACATTTCCGGAACCTGCAACTCTCACTCTAGATACTTCAACAGTCCTTAGTCCTTTTGTATAGAACCAAATTAAAAAAACATAGAAAAAGATCGAGTTACCGAATTGGAAACGAACCTTCAATTCTTTTCCAATTTCATCGTTTTGAAGTGTGCAGCGTGTTATAGCACTGACAACAGGTGCATGACGTAGAACTTCTTTCACTACAGCATCTACGTAGACAAGATGGTCTAGCAAATCAACAGTCAGTTGCGTATCCACCGTGATATTATTTTGTTTCAGTTCTTTCTTAATCTGTTCTTGTACTGAAGGACGTTTTGAAACATAATAGACAAACCAGGATAATGCTGATGATGTTGTTTCTGTTCCACCAATAAGAAGAAGAATTATTTCGTCGAATAATTCGTCTTCGGTTAATCCATCATGATCGAATGAATTCATGAAAGAGCTAATCAAATTAGATGGCTTTTCGTTTACTTGTTTGACTCGAGATAACTCATGATGAATGATCGCTAATATATGTGAATGAATAATTTGTCTAGCTCGTTGATATGTCTGATTCATGCGAAGAAATAAATGTTGCAGAATACGTGGCAAACCGGCAGCAAGCATTGCTCGAGCACTTTGCTCAATAAAATCTGTCAAAGCTAGTGAAAGTTCTGACGATGATGATGACGATTTATTAGTGTTCGGATCATAATTTAATGCAGTTCTAGCGAAGATATTCGTGAAAAGTTGATTAAATTGTTGTGCAAGTTTTGTGTTTACGTGATTATCAATAAATTGACCACTATGTATCAAATCATCCGTGCACTCTGTAATTTTATCAATCAAATGAGCGATCTTAGCTCGCTTGAGAATGGGTAAAATGATACGAGCATGACGCTTCCATATTTTACCCTGTAGAGAAATCAAACCAGATGGAGCGATCAATGAAAATCCATCAGCTGTAATTGATCCTTGATCATATATGTGTCGATTGGATAAAACATATTGAACATGTTCGATTCGATTCAAAACGATGCTTCGTTTATGACCCCACCAAAATGTAAAAACATCACCATAACGTTGTTGTAATCGAGACAAGATGACACTTACCGATGTACCTGATAATAGGCCTGTCGATCGTGAATGACCAAAAAGAAATTCAGGTGGTAGACCGGGAATTCCATCATCAGGATCGGTATAGTAGCGGTACTTTAAAATGATATAAATCAGCGAAATAGCGATAACAATTAGAACTGCAGCAATTAGCATGTTGTTGATTTCGACTGTAACACGTAAATGTGAATCATAATCTGTTCTGTATCGTTGATTCGTAATAGTGACTCAAACACAGGTATTAGATAATGTTTATTTATACTTCGCATTTGAAATTACCTGACTCCTGATTGGCTGATAAACTATTTTGAAAAGATATTGAAAACGACTGTTAGCCATACAGCACTATTCCAATCAGATAGTCCAAAGAACGACTTTTTCAAATATGCACATAGTTGGTAGGCGAACTTTGGCAATAACAAAAATAGCTAGAGGGAGACCTTCTTAATAATAGCGATATACATGATAACCATGGCACGATATATACTCATATGTATCATGCACTACATGAGCTGCAAATTTTTTTACTTAATTCATGCGATTCATGACGAAAAAAATCAAAGATCAAATTTTGTGTAGTTCTTCATATGCGGTGAAAGTGGCGTAATACCAGAAAGGCGCCACTTATGCTTCTCGACTTTAAATGAATGAATTATCACCATGTGATCGCTGACTAGAATAAGCACGCTTATGGAGTTCAAGAGACACTCTATGCTCGGCAAAAAGGCATAAAGAATTGCAAAACTTTGCTCTAAGAATAGTCGAAGAGACCTTAATTGTAGTTGATGAAGCAAAAAAGTGCTGAAAATCCATAAATATCTTGATCTACATCTGCAACCATAATCGAATTTCAATGTTTTCTGAGATTTTCATGTTCAAATAATGATATTCGTATGTAATTTCATTTGACAAAGAATGCAAATTAGAAACAAAGCTAAAAAATACAACACGAATAAAAAATAATTACTGATCGTTTATGCACCATAAATAATGATTTTTTCTCCTTTAGCGACCATTAAACCAAAGCAACAATCTGATTAATTATCATTTTAATGCCAATAATCTCTTACAACGATTATTTGACAATGTATATTTTTTTCGAAGATTTCATTCAAAGTATTCTATGCATAAAATATTGATGATTTACTTGTAGTTAGTTAAATACAATAGCAAATTTTCTTTCTAAATATATAACAACAAAATTCACTCTCTATATATTCAACCAAAGCCTATCACATGTTTTATAAGTACACATGATCACTGAAAAACGTCACAAATCAATATATACGTTTTCATGATAACTGACTGAAACATCAAGACAATACTAAAGGTAGTTATTATGTTCAGTTCCTTCTAATAAATGTGTAGTTTTAAAGTCTAAATTAGGTTTTGCCGGCTCAGAATGGAATTTCATCATTTATGGGATAGCAATTGCGTAGTAGACATGAGCAAGACGAATTATTTTTAATGTGATTCGAAAAATTTACTGGTATAAATAGTGCCCTTAATAAATTATTCCTAGCAGATAACATACTTGATAATCCGATGTTGATATTAATAAATCAAAATACTTCGTTTAGTCACGGTAACGATGGCAATGCAACTAATGTTTGGGTTTGCTAATATTTTAGCAATATATTGATGTCATTGGCTTCATCTTATGTATCATCGGTTATCTGCTACGTACATCAGAAATTTTCAAAACAACATCGATGGCTTTTTATTAGCAGCTTCCCACGAAAATCAAAAAATGATTTTAAATTATTGTTCTGGGAACTGCATGAAATTGGTTATTTCAACAAATGAACATCATTACATTCATGTCATCATTGTCGTATGAATCCCATTTGAGTGAGGATATGGATGAAAAAAATACAAGCATCCATACTCCACACCCTTCTAAATTTTTATTCATAAACAAAAAGTTAAGTAACATCGCTTGAAAATATTCTTGTTAACGTATTTAATGAATAAAATTGGCATTTTCTAGCAAACATCAATGATACACTTTAGACATTTTCAATAACATTCCAATTATCATTTTCTTAAATTTTCTAAATATTTAGAATTATTTGCAATCGTTGAAATTTTGCTAGTGTATCTGAATTCATCGAATCCTCTCAAATGTTCTTCTATAGAAAATTCATATAACTAAAGTTAATTTTTAGTAGAATAAGTTCATCGGTAGTTAACGACGACGCACAAAGGCATTCAAAAGCTTTTTAATGTATTCTATTTTCTAGAGTTTTTTTTGTTGATCGTTTCGGTATAAACAATTTTCGATTTTCATCAACGAATAGCGATGCTACACTCAATAGATACTAAAAAACATTAAATTGATCTGAAGTTCTATAACAATTTAACTTTTTGAGGATGTGAATGTGAGAGTGGAACATTATCCAAAGAAAATTTACTCTCACATTTTATATCAATATATTAGTAATTGGAAAAGAAGTTTGATTTTTCATCATTTATTTTTTAACAATCAATGGAATTACATTTATAGAGACTTGGATCATTTTTTTCATAAGATTCCATTCATAATACTTTCATAATTTATAGTTGACGTAGATCAAAAAATATAGATTATTAGTTAATTCATTTTATTTTTTAAATTTTTATTTTATTTTTTTTAAATAACATTTAATTTAAACTATGAAAAAAAAAAGTATTCATCTTCGAATCGAATATCTTTTATAGTACTTTCAGCCTTTGGATAATTACATACAATTTAAATGAATTAAGAATAATATTGTTAACAGCTGATGAATGTGAATTATTTGGATTTTTATTTATTTATTTGATAAATATTAGTATAAATGACAACGAAATAAAACTTGACTTATGTGTATAAATGATGATAGTTCACTGTTACTGGAAAAATCATCAAAAATAATCCAAATGTTCTTAAATGTTTCTTAATCTGTCATCATTTGAGCTTTGGAATATAAACTTGAACATTGACAATTAGCTATTTGCTTATCAATCATTTTAAACGAAAGAGTACTATTAACGATAAACAATTGGATCAACTACTCGCGAGTGATATTCGAAAAGTTACAGCATCACGAAAATGTTCAATTAATGAGAGCAATTATGATAGTTGGAGCATTCACAAAAATTGATCGAATTCATGTAGTATGGTGTAATAATAAATGTACTGTTGTGATTGATGGGTATTTATGTTCTCGTTTATGATAACGAGAAGGACGTAAAAATAGATATAATGATTCTCCTTCGGTTGCAACTAGGATTAACCAAATCTAAACCTTAGATTCAACTGGAATGAGATTTAGATTTAACAGAATTTGACTGAATATGAATTTGGTACGTGCCTAATTCTAAGCCTGAAAATACTATGTCGTTTTACAAAAAGATCTGGAGGTATTTTTCAAACACACATAAATAAATATTGAATATGTAATGAACTGTTGTTTTTCTTTAAAATTTTTCTTCACAACTAATATAAGTCATTGAAGTTAGCTTGGAACTAATAATTACACTAGTGATACGTTTCACTGTAAATAAACTCTATCTAAACTCTTCAAATCTGAACAAAAACAACTCCCTTGACTAAGTTTGACAAAGAAAAATTATTTCTTTTCTTTTTTTTTCCACAGGATATTACTTATTTATTTCTCATTCTACACTTGTAGAATAAGTAAAATAAATTCATTTAGTAATGATGTATTCGACAAAAAAGAATTGAAACTAAGAATTGTTAGAGGGCCTACCAAAAAGATTCACCTTACTTTGATCGACAGTAAAAATGTCGAAAGGTACAAATATTGAAAATGATAGTGTCTGGGAGAAGAAGTTCTTTCACCCTCATTCCAACTCTTACATCCACATTAAGATCCCGCATTTTCGTTTTCGACATTTTTACCTTTCGATATTTTTACCATTTGACCAAAGTAGGGTTAATCATCAAAAACCATGGCTTTTCCTTGGAGACTTAATAGAAAAATAATCAAGCTTATCGTGATGAAAATCTCAATTGTGCATTAACTCTACTGACAAGAACATCCTACATGCCTGTTCCAGAATACTATTATGTGACTAGGTAGTGAATAGAGTATTTAATATTTTTTTTCTAAACTAGTAGTTTTTATCATTTTATAAATCGAACAAATTTGAAAGAAGAATGGTTTAATACTAAATCAATACTGATTATTTTCTGATGAATTAGAGGAAGAAAACATTTTGTATCAATCCTTATTGCTTCAAAATAAAACTTCATACGAAAAACTAAAATTTTTAATAATTTTCGATCAATCCTATAGAAGAATATTAAATCGTATTTTACTCGACGCATTTACTTTGTTTATTGACGAAGGAAAGAAAAAAGATGTTTTGTTTCTGTTTCTAATGTAGTTCTACTTCTTTTCTTCTCTTTTCTATTCTAGCCTTCTTCTTCGTGTTTCATCCATGTAAATCTTTATTTCTTGCACTTAGAAAAGAAAGTATTGAATTCTCATCTAATAAATTTCATTCAAATTTTTTTTCACATTTACATGTCTGTGGAAAATAATCATTTCAAGTTTTTCATTCGTTTTCTAGACTAGAGTCAATTAGAAAACGTGTTTTTATTATGGAAAAATCATTGTCGAATAAATACACTGGTAAAAAATGACAGTCAACACTAGAAGGGTGGTGGAGATGTGTGTCTTCATCTTTCCATCATGAAAGTCAAACTCACACTCCAAACCCACAGCCACAGCCACATAAACACCCAACAAGACGAAGCCATACATATTCTCTTCTTTATCATCCGTATAAAAAAATAACACTATTTATTTACTACTCCCCTCTAACAGACATCCAGGGACGTTTAGAGTTTTAATAGTGGTTAATCAAATGTCTTTGCAGTATGAAATTATACCCATGATACTTAGATATTTATTGCTTGTTATTTTGTTTAACAAACGACCATATGTTTCTAGCCGATGTATCAATATTATTTTTCTTTTTCTATACTAACAAATATATACATAAAATACAGAGGTATAAAAAGAAATTATCATTCTAAAAACGAGGCATAATTGGGTGGTGCGGGTATTCTGTTATTCTAAACCGACAGCTTCACCAAGGTAACTTGATATGTTGACAATCTTTTGCATCGTAAGAAATCTAGTGAAAATTGAACAAACTGTTGACATTTCAGTAAACCCTTACTATAGATGAATTCAAAAGTTCTTATTTGTTGAAATCTGTATCAATTCCTTATATTCGGTGTAGAAAAAACTCGTTTTAACAATATCATGCATAAGTGTTTTTAAAAGATGATTCATAAGTCAATTAATTGAATTGATTTTTCTTAACAGTTTCTTCAAAGAAAACCAAAAAGTGTTTATATTGTTTCATATTAAATACGGTCATTCTTGTTAGATTTATTCTGAGTTTTTTCTTTGTAGAAAAAAAGAAAACTAAACGCACACCTTCGGGTAATAAACATCCGATAAGAGATGTAATTGTTTGTTATGCTCTTATCTTCTTTCATGTGAACAACACTTTTGAGAGTTACTGGTTTCAGTTTTGCCACAGACCGTCGGTGTGGCTCAAGAAAATATGAGTGTTAGTTTAACAAACATTGTGCTGCTTGGCTCAGCTTTCATGGTCCTATTCACAGCTTTTCAAGCAACCGGCTTAGTCGAAGTAGGACTCAGTCATACAGATTGACACTTGAACTCATATCTTTTGTCAACTAGTAGCAAAGTGTACTTGAAGGTGTTAAGAATGAAACAATCGATGGAAATGATTTTCAAGGCAGTGGCTACATTAGGTGAGTCAGGGGTAGTGCATAATACATGAGATACTCTTAATGTTTCTTTAAGACGCTTTTGTTATATAGCTGTATTCATTAAGATTTAACGCTTTCGATTTCTAGACGTGTTTGCTCATTGAAAGTCAGTGTTGAATATCTGTGAACTCATTGAGTCAGTAACACCATTTTACCCGGTTTGATCTCTCCTAAACATGATAACAAGTCTTTTATAGGCGTACTAGTAATTGAAAAAAAAGCAAGCTTGATAAATCAACATTTGTCGATCACAAGAAATATATTGAGTAAATTCAATAATAATTCAACAATGCATCCGCTGAATACTAAACATAATGAACCAAACGAAATTTTTTGTTTGAATCTCAAGATAAAATGATGTGCCTTCAGTTACAGTAGGCAATAAATTTAATCACGCCTTATCATATAGTCTTGCTATTGTCTACGCATGTGCAACGATAGCCAATGTCGTCGCTCCCGCATTTGTCTTCATCTTTGGAGCACCTGTATCCATGTTCATTGGCGCATCTACCTATTTGTAAGTATCTACTATTTTTATTCTAATGCATTCAATACCTACTATTGATAGCTTCTATGTTCTTTCATTTCTATTACCGATGACCTGGTCATTCTATCTGACATCTATTTTACTTGGTTTCGGTGCGGCGATACTTTGGACGGCAGAAGGTGCTTACTTGGCAGCCAACTCCGATGAGCACACCACTAGTCGGAATACTGGTATCTTTTGGGCATTGTTTCAATCCAGGTAAATATTTCGATAGTGAATGTGTGGATAAGAGTGATCGTGTCCTTGTAGTTTAAAGTGTTTGTGAATTTACAGAAAAGATCCACATTCGCATCGATATCAACACCAATATTTAGAAACGCATGGCAGATCATTCTATCACCGTGTAGCTTTCAGAAATATAACAATTATAGAAGAAAGATAACTTTCAGAAAAACAAAGTTGAGTTCATAGATAACAATTAGTTTTTATTTCATGAATAATGTAAATTCGTTTGTTTCAATAGGCTATGTCAATGCTATTACTTAGTACAGGCAGCATTTTAGACCTTTTCAAAAACATAACTGATAGTTGATTATTGCTAGACTAGAGAAAAGTTCTAAACATATATTCGGATAGAGTGAAAAATTCTGATTCTAATAAACTGATTTTTTTTCTATGTATCTTTTTGTTTCATTCTATTGCTTGTGTTCTATTCTGACTAGTCTTCTTGGTGGCAATCTCTATGTTTATTTGTCGCTCAAAGCTGACGTCATCACTCGATCAACTCGATATCCGCTCTTCACTGTCTTCTCAGTGGTATGTGCCATTGCTCTTGCGATATATGCGTGTATCATCTGGCGATGGCTAATCGAACGACGTCGACAACAAATAAAACTGGAGCCTATTGAACGAAAAAAAGCTCTAAGAGATGTCGTTGAAACGTTTAATATAGCCTTAAGGCTGTTAAGAACACGAAATATGCTTTTGTTGTTGATCCCATTCGCCTACACAGGTACGAGATAGTCTTCTTAACATCTGAAAATTATTATCCCTAAAATTTTTGAATTATTGAGACCCGAGTCCTTAATTGAATAGTTTTTTTTTTCTTTCAACAATAATATCTAGAACTTTTAAAACTTATTTATAAAGTTGTACTAAAGATTCTCGAATTACTGTGAATTTGAAATTCAGATTCACTCACTCACTAGTAATAAAGATACAAAGTCAAATTGGTTTCATTTGTAAATCAGTCATACTTTTTGCCTATATAAAAAGAATTTTAGACGACAAAACTATTGTTGAATCAAATATTAGCCCGAATCATTGTTGTGAACTAATCGGTTTTTAAAGAAACTTCGACTTCTTGGCTATCGTAACTCATAACATAGAATCTGATTTTAATATATCGACTGCTAACTCAAAGTATGACATATAAAATTTCAGTCACCCGAACTTTTATTGATATTTCTTTCGAAATACATTCACTTCTCTTGAAACTATCAGTGAACTATCTGCAATGTACGACAATCTCCATCACTTAGTATACTTGTCAACAACATCCTTTTGCGCTTTGATGTTATTTTTTTTTCCTTTTTTTTTCGTTTAAAGCAATCTTTAATTGATCAACAGTAGGTCTTATTAAAACAACTCTAATCGAAAAATAAACGTTTTTCTTTCAGAACTTTTCATATATTTTATTAAGAAATAGTTAAGATCTACTTATCCTTATGTACGCAAAAAATGTCAACTAGTCGTTTTGTGAAAATGCCGAAAAGGAGCGGGAACTAAAGACTTTGGAATTTGTTTATGAGACTACACGACGCCTAAAAATATTTGTCAAACACGAAATCGTTGACCTTAATAATGCTGCATATTTCATTACTATGTATATTTGAAAGGTTTCTCGCAAACATTCTTTCAAACAGTCTATGCCACTTGCATTGGACACTTAATCAAATATGGAAGTAAGCTATTCTCATTCATAGCTACGTAAAAAAGAAATTCATTTTTTTATAGATACTCGAAAACGACTCATTGGTTTGCATGGTGTACTTTTGGGCATTGGAGAAATAGTAGGTGGTGGATTGTTCGGATTTGTTACCAAACCGAAAACATCATCTCAATGTGCTCTAGTAATCTTGATTGGATTCTTTTTACAAATTGTGTTTTACTATTCGGCTTGGATCAACTTTCCTGCTGATGCACCAGCACGTGAAACAAACACTGAATCATATTTTCAATTTAGGTTAAGCATGATGCATAATAAGAAAATAAATCATGAATTTCTTTTTGTTTTATTAGCTCATCATTAAGTCAAATTATTGCTTTTGTCGGTTCTTTTGTAGTAGGACTTGGAGACAGTGCATTAAATACACAGGTATGTGGCTCTGTATTTGTCTATTGATCGTAAAGATAGTTATCTATTTTAGCTGTTCAGTGTATTGGCTAGTCGATTTAAACATACAAGCGCCTCAGCTTTCGCTCTTTTTCAACTTGTTCAGGTATTGATCATCTATGAAGTAAATTTCGGGCATTGATTTAATTTTAGGGCATAGCTGCAGCGATATCCTTTTCCTATGCCGGCTCATTGGATCTACAATACCAATTGCTTGTCGTTGTTGTTTTTCTCGTCCTAAATGCACTCACTTTCTTTGCTGTCTTGTTTGGCGAAAACACATCTCAGTCATTCAAAAAAGATACATGTGAACACGAAAATGAAGTTACTCCTTTGCTGGCTACATAGTGAAAATCGTTCATTTTAAAATAAAGACTTAAGATGAATGTCAATATATTGAAATGCAGAAAACGTATAGAATAGATCTTGAATGTAGTTGAAAGATAGATGCGCCCATACCAAAATCCTACCAAGACTCTCCGATGATTTTTTTTTCGTGACATATGGAATAAAAAAATCGATGTAGAACTCTTGCATCATTTTTTATATTGTATCTTAATTAGCAAAAAATATACAATTCATAAAGTTTAGTTCGTGATTATTGAATTCTTTGTTGTTAGGTAGGTTCAGTAAAATGTAATAGTTGCTTCAATCACGCTAATGAGCAAAAAAACAGTATGGTTTTTCTTTCTAAATTTAAACATTATTACTAGTGACTTACCTTAAGTTAATATTTACCTTATATGTAGATATTAAATGCGTTTCTTCAAAGCCCTATTTAAAATAATCATTCCATCAATAATGTGCTTTAAAAAATCGTCTCTATTGAATTATCGTCATAGTTGCACTAGGCTTAAACAGTTTAATTGAATATAAAATTAAGTTTACATGTTTACTTTAGACATACAGTCTTTTTTTTGGAGATTTTTTCTATTCTAGTACGAACTCAAGACAGTGCTCTCGAAATCGTTGAAGAGAAAACTCCTGATCAGCGTGGTCATTATTAATTCTCGCTTAAATGGCTCGGGCAGCAACATACTAAGTTCGCAAAGAAGAAGAGGAAAACTCGAAATAAAATTCTGTCTAACAAAATCTCATAAACTTATTATTAGGATGTGGATGTGCATACGGGTTTTGGGTTCCGGTATAGACAAGAAGACAACCCACTCCCTCTCTTCTGTAATGAGTGGTGCGATTAAGTAAGATAAGTGGCGGTTATAACCTTTGTTTAAGCAAAATCAATCGCTGGAACGTCACAAACGTATTTAAAAATCTCTTTTTGGGCTCTATTACAGGATCTACATCTAGAAACATAGGAAACTTGGTTTATAATGGTCTAAAATCGTTCTAGTTGGAAGAAGAACAACACGAAATTTTGTGAAATAATGGTTTTGAAAATAAAGGTTTCTGGGTATAGTACTGCTGATTAGATATAGTTTTGCAATTATGATCTTGAAGATCTATTTTTATGAAATTTTGTAGAGTATTCTATAGACTACCTTTTTGAAAAATATTTAATTGAAAGAAATATTCCCAAAATAGTTAGAGAATCATTCTTTATGCGTCACCTGTTACATCAATGTAGTATCGTTCGTAAAGTTTGTTTTGATTTTGCTTCTTATTGTTTAAGTTGATAGCTGAAAGTTATCTACGGAACATTTCACATACATTTTTCCTGTTTGACAAAAAGTAAAATTTACTTCATGAGATTACAAATAATAATACTTGATGGTCATTTTTTTGTGTGTATTATTTCTATGAAAGAGAAAATTCTTAAATAACTTTCTACAACTAACCAAAAATATTCTTGCTGTGTTATGGCCAGCTCACCTTGTGTTCTAGATATTGAGCTTTGATCTTCTAATATATGATGGGCTACTGACCCAATTTCGAATACAAACTGAATTGCAATCATGTGAAGTTATCAGATCAATTATAATACCGAGAAATAATTTTTCTTGAATTAATCATTAGTTTAATGTTTCTTTTTTAAGTCAGAAAATATAAAATTTACTGACATACTTTAGATAATAAATAAAACTAGAAGTTAAATATTCAAGGACTATTTTTCAGGTAATGAACAATACCATCGAGAATTTCATGAGCAATATCTAATTCAAATAATCCTTCTAAGAATGTTAATGATCTATGAAAAGTATTATCAAAATGGTGATATACTACATTAACTTCGCTAGCTTTCAAAGCAGCTGCTTACAAAAAACCTTCATCTCTTAATCGATCACGATCAACAGTAAGTATATAAGTTGATGGTAATTTAGCCAAATCTTCGTTATCAACCAACAGTGGTGATATATCTCGATATAATAGTTGTTTAGCATTTTCTATAAGTTGAGGATTGCCATCCATATTATCAATTATTGGTTCTTTGTATACTTTTCGATATTTATTTGGAATTAATGACCAATCAACAAATCGACGATATTGTTTCTTTTGTTCAATACTAGAATGTTTATTAACTAGTGCATCACCATTTATACTTTTGTTTATATAAAGTTCAAGAACTTGAACAGCTCTTTCAGAATGAAAAATATGTAAAGCTGGTGTTACATATGAAGGAATCATAAGATCAAAGAATCGAACAGTAGAATATATTAATACTTGAACACAAGGAATATTATTACTATTTGCATCTTTGGCAAATTGCATTGCAACAAAAGCAGCTAAATTTCCATCTAATTATAAGCATTATGAAAGTTATAAATAGATTTTCAAAAGGAAAAATAGCAAAAGAATGTTTGCATACCAGCTGAATTACCTGCAATAGCAATACGTTTTGAATCAATATTTAATTTTTCTGCATTATTTCTGTCAAGAACATAGTGTGTTGCTTTAATACAATCATCAAGTCCAGCTGAAAAAGGATGTTCAGGTGCAAGACGATATCTTCATATGAAATTTCCAAAACAATCTTTTCACAATCAGATAAATATCAATCAAAACTTACTCAATAGAAATAATAATAAAACCTGTCTGAAGAGCCAATCCACGTGTTATTGGATAATGCGTATGTAAAATGATAATTTGTACAAACAAATTGAAATTTAAAATAAATCAAAACAAATTCATCACTCGAACTCATATAAAACATTCCTTCGTGATAAAAAATAATAGTTGAAAGACGTTCTGTATTATCATCATTTAAAGTCAACGGAGGATAAATACGTACATGTATATCTTCGATAGTTGTATCTTCAATCTATATGAAAAGTCTTCATAAAAAATGAAAAAACAAAATTTTTCATAATACTTTTAAGTTAACATTGATTTCAGTTGGTTTTAATTTTTTTAAGATATAACCACTATTTCTTTGAATATACCATGCAGGAGCAAAACCTAGTATTTCAGATATTTTATCCTAAATAAACATACAGGTTGATTACGTTATTTTTAATAGTTTTGTGTAGTTTGCTATATTTACGTAGAATAGTGGAAGTTTCGTATTTTAACACAGTTGGATAGAGCATCGACTACTCTATCGAACCATATAATTTACATTTTATTTGCTCTGGCTCTAGACCAAAAAATTGGTATATCTCAAAGAGCTATGAAAAAAAAATTTTTAAGGTTGTTAACGTTATTTTTAACAGTTATTTTTCTCATATATATAAACGAAAACAAAGTGCAATTATGAACGACGTTTCATATAAGAGCCTTAAGCTATCTGTAGAAAAGTTAGCCTATATCGACTTTTAGCGCTACCAGCAGCTTGCCAAAAAAATATAGGTTGATTACGTTATGTTTAATAGTTTTGTGTAGCTTGCTGTATTCATGTAAAACATGGAAAGTTTCTTATTTTGATACAGTTAGATAGAGCATTGGCTGCTCTATCGAACCATATGGTTTACATTTTGTCTCTTTTGGTTCTAGTCCAAAAAATTGATAAATCTCAAAAACTGTCAAAAAAAATTTTTTAAGGACGCAACTTTCAGATGATGGCTAGGAGTAGATAAATAGTCATGTTTTGTATCTTTTTGCATGTTTTATTAAAACAAAATATACCAGAAGATGCAGCATGAAAAGCTGTACAATCCACATAAGAACGCTTATTTTATACTTTTAGTTTATGTTTTCAAAATGGGCAAAATTTTGAGCGTCCAAACTTCGGCCGTGCGAAACTTCGTCCGACAGCATCTTTTTTCTTTTAATTTTTTTCAACAATTTCAATAAGCTTTACTGTCTAAATTGTACAGCTTTTCATGCTGCATCTTTTGGTATATATTGCTTTTTTTTACGAAGATATATTAGGTGACAAAAATATGAAATTAAATAAACGAATATTTTTTCATGTAAAAAAAAATGATTTTTTTTTGCGATGGCGAATGTTGGTCGCACCGGATTTTGATTTACTGAACATAAAAGGTGTACAATTAAAATAAGATTTACCATGTAGATTGTAGAGCTTTTCATGCTGCATCTTCTGGTATATTTTGTTTTTAATAAAACATGCAAAAAGATACAAAACATGGCTATTTATCCACTCCTAGCCATCATCTGAAACTTGCTTCCTTAAAAACTTTTTTTTGACTGCTTTTGAGATATACCAATTTTTTGGTCTAGAGCCAGAGCAAATAAAATGTAAATTATATGGCTCGATAGAGTAGTCGATGCTCTATCCAACTGTGTTAAAATACAAAACTTCCGCTATTCTACGTAAATATAGCAAACTACACAAAACTATTAAAAATAACGTAATCAACCTGTATATAAACAAACAAAACGCAATGAAACTGCCAAGAAGAAAAAATTCAAAATTTTAAACGACTATACTCACGATAACACTGATTATTTTCATTAAAACACTAAGTAGACGAACGCGATTCATTTGTGAAACACTTTCGCTATTTGGTACATAGTATAAATATGCAAAGAGAATCACTAAAACACTGCTGATAATTTTTAAACACTGAAGTTTTCGAACCATATTTCAATGGAATTGTTTAATAAGTCAATATAGATACCAAGTAATAATGCAGTGATAATCGTGTTCGCTGTTGTTGCATTTTTTTCTATGAAGCTTCAGTAAAACAAAAAGAAAATAATTCGACACGTGTAAGTAATGAAGATAAATGTCAGCAGTAAAATTTTGCTTTCTTTTTCAGTTATTACAACATGAAGAAGATATTGTTCGTACTTTTTTCGCACCTGTGAATTCTTAAAACATATAGGTGGAATTCTCACGTTCGTAAAGAATGGTTAAGTACAACCAAAAGCCAATATTGCTATTTGATAAAGACTTTTTTGAAAATATTACATTTATAAAAGTACAATCGAAATAAAAAAGTAACGAATAAACAGTTTACAAAAGATTCATTTGTTCAACGAATGTTTTTATCTTCGCCATTCATTGACCATGTCAAACAGTTTCAGTTAAAATCGATGGTTATCTGTCGTTGGTCTCATGCTCTTGTCACTGGTTGGTAAAATGTGTTTTAATGTGTTTAGACACTCAGTAAGACTTTGTCGTAGATTCTGGATAATCCATAACAGGAACGATGAGCATAAGACATAATACTGCATTCGCATTCATAGATAAAAGACGCATCCACTTGAATGGTGCGAGATCAGGACGAATAATGCTGAGTAGTAACAAAGGCAACGCCGGTAGGTCCACAAATGCCAACTGAGAATTTAGCAAAACAATACGTCGAACTATTGCCAAGTCGCGATGCATTTGTATGTCGTGATTGCCACTAACTCTTGACGACGTTTGACGCACATAACTTATTAAACGGCGATAGAAAACAGTAAGAGTAGTATCTGACAAAAAAAATGTTATTGAAACCAAATGAAATAACAAGCAGATTCTGCTATTTAGACAAAACTAGGGTGTGAGTGTGAGTGTGGGTATGGGTGTGGGTGTGGGGTGTGGGTGTGGGGTGTGGGTGTGGGTGTGGGTGGGGTGTGGGTGTGGGGTGTGGGTGTGGGTGTGGGTGTGGGTGTGGGTGGGTGCGGAAGTGGGTGTGGGTATGGGTGTGAGCTTAGCTGCCTCTACTGATCGCTTGCGCCCGGGTATTGTCAATGGATGTGCGAAATTATGAGCTTTAGTTGTCGGTCTCGGTGAATGAGTGACATGGAATGAGATGATTGGATAAAGTTGGTTGTCTATATTATGTGCCTTATTATTGAGTTTGAATTTTTGAGACGATAATAGGGAATCGAAAATGGACAGATGGTATGCTGGAAAAATGGAGAAAGGAACAATATACAAAAGAAAAACATAGAAAAACATGAGGAGAAATATCGAATGAGAAAAATATCGAATGGAAAAACATGGAAGAGAAAAAATGTCGAAAGGAAAAGAATAATTAGTCGTAAGACATCGCTATAAGACGTCCCTTGAAAATCACTTATCGTTTTGATTGGTTGGGTGTGTGTGGATGTGGGTGTGGGTGTTGTTCTTTTCTTGACTAACAGCTCACACTCACACCCCTTAAGATAGTGCGCTTTTCAGTTTAAATTTTCACATGGGTAATATGTAGAAAAACAACACTTAAATGTCACATGCTTCTTCGATGTATTTTAGAAGTATGTGTTGTTCATAAAAATGTGGAACTAAATGAAGTTTAATAGAACATGAAAATCATTTCATTACCAATCTTATCTTGGAATAAATGATGTGACTTGATTCATAAAAGTACTTTTTTTTATCTTATTCTTTTATTTTACAAAGTATTCATGTCATTCAGGTTTTGCGTCCGAATCCGCTGTTTATTTTTATAATGGTTTACAATAATGTTTTACATAAACGCTCACATGTTTGAGGCAAGTACATCGTCCATCAAAATGCATCACATAGCTAAATTTTAAGAAATGGTACAAGCCTCAGACATCGCACGTAACTGCTCGGCTTGTCTTTCTTCTACAAATCGATTGTTAAGTCGTTGCATTGGCTCATAGTAGTAGGTACGCATCCAAATTTGCTTATAAGCCATTATTTTTGTGACTCGCCGAGATTGTCCAGCAATAACAATTGATTGCACTACCATTAATTGACGTCTGACTTGACCAACGTTATAAAATGCATTACTGGAGTCGGGACAAAGGTCTGGAGCATTAAAGAATACTTTGTCTTCAAATTCATCCGGTGAAAGTGCCAAGGCTAATACAAATATCCGCCGAACGTCTGCACCTGTCATGTACCTCCAATTGGAATATCTCCTGTATCGATTCATATCACTTTCGTTGTATTCAATAACCGTGCATATACAATCCAGGTAGTACATAATTTTGGCAAGGTCTGCATTTGGTACGTTGACTGTTGTGCCGAATCTCTCGAACTCATATTCAGTACTTCCAAAAGCTGCCATACTATGAAGATGAGGTTAATGATGAAAACTGTTAAGATTGTCGAAGTACTTTATACTCTTTTAGTTTGTCTATATAATGTAATAGTATATATAGTTCTTTCTACTTCCGTCAACAGACAGACAGAACAAGAGAATGATAATGCAAATTTCTTCACATTTAGACGGTTACTTTAAAAGATACTAAATTATAGAAGTACAGCTTTTCTCTCGGAAGTAGAATCTTCACTTGGAAAAAACCGAAAAGTTAAAAATATACATCAGTAATTTTATTGGACGTCTAATAGCAAATAACTTGAAATTATGCGATGACAATGAGGTTGTTTTTGCATACTTCTGTTGTTCTTATCTTTGAATTTAGAACAACAATGTTTGTTGATATTTTATTATATTATGTCTCACAAAAAGCGTAAGTTGACTATTAAAAGAATTAATAGACATACATATCGGTCATTTTTCTCCAATAAATAGTGGCTAGACTTAGATCTACATTAATACCTTAAAAGACAAAGATTTATATTAAGTTAAGATTTTTCATTCTATGCAATGGAAATACGATTCTAACGAACATTAATTGTAGAAAAATAATTCGAATAAAAAAATCAATTCTGTTAGATCCAAAAGTCTTCAATAGTGTGTTTTTGTTATGAATCAAAATCATGAACTAAACGACAGTTATTTAATATTTTATTTTTG